AACAATTGAAAAAATAGATATGTGTAACATTACCTCAAAATAGAGCGCTGACACAGAACAGTAGAAAACCATAAAAATCAAGGAGCCCATAAAGGCCATAAAACCTCTATGTAGTGGCAGTTTAATATGAACTATAGAGGAGAAGCGTTACTCTGTCGTTTTTGGCGAGGTAACTGAAGTGATACTGTGGTATCCAAAATCACTGGTTTCACTGTGGTGTCTGTGATATATGTACCAGGTAGTGAGGAGGAAGGTAAACATCTAGGTAATGAAGGGCATCTGCAGGTAGTTGACCGTAGAACACGGAGGAAGTGGGGTGCTGAAATTTCGTTGCTCCGCTAATATTGTAAAGACAAGGTTATTACAATCTCGGCACCCTAGGATCACTCGTTTTGGACACATTTAAGTTTGAATATTTGAGGTAAAATCGTAACATGTCCCTGTGAAAAATTTTAGCCTCCCGTATTCAGAAAATACCAAGAAGCTGTGTTTTAGATCCTTTAGATGGAAATGTTTTTTTTTTGATTTTTTGATGTCAATATAATCGCTACTCATTCGAGCCTTGTATGTCCCAATAGTTGTTCGGGGCTGTGTCATTAACCATCTCAGACACTTGAAGATTTTTATAATGCTAAAGACGCAAAAATCAGTACACATAAGAAAAACAAATATTTATTTTAATATACAATATTAGGTACAGTTAGGTGTGATAAAATTTGAAAACATAAACGCTATTTTTTACATAAACAGAGTGATTTAGGTACATAAATATTAATTTGTAAGAATAAATTACAAGTTTCTAACAATTTTCTTTCAATTTAATTTCGGCTTATGGCTATCGAAGTTGCATACCATCAGTATTGAGATAGACAGCTTCATAAAAAAATATACATATACAGCAAAAAATTAAAACGCACAATCTTTGGGCAGTTTTATTTCACAAAAATTAGTGAGTATAAATGAGAAATACAAAAACTGCTGGTGATTCAGTCATACTGCTGAAATGACATTTGCTGAATGAAATACAAAAGATAAATACAAAATTTTCTCGTTATTACATAACTCGAAAAGACAAGCCATGAACAAAATGCTTAGCAGAAAGTTTGCACAAAATGAGAAGAACCAAACTAGGAAAACACGCAAAAATGTTATGCTGATACTAATTCTGTATCTCATTTTTCACCATTATTTTTTTGGATTCAGTCAAATTTGGAATAACAATTAAATGCCCTCATAAATCGACGAACGCAACCAGATTTATGCACATTTTGACAAATGCTGTCCTGAGTGCGGCGTAGAAAACGCGGGAATGCATCGAGATCTGTCGACTAAAAAATAAATACATTCACAGATGGCAGAGAGACGATGAGTTATCAGCAGCGCAAAACGCAATAGTCCAGTCGACATGGTCATACAATTTTTAATAAATTCGTTGAAAGTGTTATAATAAATTGCTGTGAGAATAAGAAATTAGACGTTGGATTGTAAAAGAGTTTTCTACACTTACTGTAAAAACTGAGATAGTGGACAAACAAGTAAGAACACCCTGTAGATATGTATTTATGCAGCATATACAGGGTGTATCAACCGTGGAGGAGTATCGCTCCTAAACAAAAAATATTCAAGGAAATTGTTTATGGATTTGTTGATATGTTTATTATACAGGGTGTCCAAATTATCACCCACATTTCTAAGGTTTTTAAATGGACTCTCCCACTTTTTATTGCATAGATGCTTTTAAAAGGAGATTTATATACCTTACTTATGGATCTGATAACTAGTTGTTGAACTATTGGGTGTTTCATCTAAAAAAAATCAAAGTTTGATAGTTTGCGTACCTACTATCTTGATAGTTAGAATGCTGGATTTTGTGTAAAAAATATTTGATCCGATAATACTCAATTTTAGCTTAATTCGTAAATTTTTTTAAATTGTTTGGTGTGATCAAAATGCAAGTTGTGCTTGTACGCAAAAAAATCAAATGAAACAACCTGTATATTTTTGAATCCCAAGTTTCATGAGCTTTTTTGATATGAGATTGTTATCTGTTTTTTTAAACACAGTTTCTGCGTTTGTTTCAAATAATCGTATATTTCTCTACAAGTCACATCATCCATGGAAACAAAATACAAGTAAAGGATAAATATATCTATAACAGAAGGGTTTCATCAGAAAACCGACTGATTCAATGCTTTTGTCTTGTAATTCAGCTTGACATTATAAAATTAATTTTTTATCATAACTAAAATTTAAACATTTTTAATGCCAAAAACTATTCGGGTTATTTCACTTCATTCCTATGAGTTTGGTAGAATTCCCGTTACTGTCAACTGCTACTCTCCCATTTAAGGATATTCGATGTACTTACTTCTCCTGTTTTTGATGTTTTATATCCAATGTAAAAAGCTCTCTAAAAATGATCTTGCCTAAATGCATGTGGGCAAATGATGCATTTTTTGATTCTGTAGCTTGTCGTATGACAAGTATGACGTCACCACCAATTCTCCGGGACGCCCATGGAGTTAGGTAGGTAAAGCGTCAAGCACGAAGATCAACGGGACCGACGGTAGATGTCGCATTTGTATAATCTGTGGCAGACGCTAAATAAAATCTCTGCATTTCCGGGCACATGTTTATAAAAACTTTTTTCCATATTTTTTAACAGGAAATCACCCCCTAAAATATCTCCGTCTATTTTTCGAACACCCTGTATAGCGTAAATGCGAATTCTGCTAGCTTTCCTCATATGAAGTCATAATGGAAGGTCCAGGTCAAAGTGAGAGACATTAGAATACTTCTGGATTTTAATTTTTGCGGAGTATGCAATCAGGTATAAAATCTGGGGTTATTCTGAAACCAAGGCGGCAGCCATATTATTTTCAAAATTTTAAAGAATGCAAAAAATGATTTTCACAATCAGTACGAAGTTTTGAAACCCTTCATACCTTCCATTTTGGAAATGTAGCAATAATTTACGATTCCCAATGATCTAAGCAAGAAACGTTTTGCATATGTCACACAAACAAGGTCTCCATTTTTTTGTGAAACCTCTCATTTTTTCTATCTTTTTCTGATAAATATTTGCTCATTACTTTTTTAAGAGCTATATCCGGTTCTAGTTCGAGCGTTTAAGTATTCCTGTATTTATATTTTGTATCTTTGCAGTACATCGTCCATTGATTAAAGTTACTCTATCTGAAGATAATACTATTTGTATTCACACATCCAAAAACTTATCCAAGATGAATCGTAGCGTCATCTTTGGACATTTCTCACAACTATCTTACCCCTTCCGCAACAATTAGAAGTCTACTTTGAAAAGGGACTCGTAGATGGCGCTATAGCTATATGCTCATTAGAGTTGGGTACAGCGCCATCTATGAGGCAATAACCTTCTCAAAGTAGATTCCTAATTATTGCAGAGAGAGGAAAGATAGCTTAAATATAGTATTAGGTTTTGTTATCTTCAGGTACAAAACGGTAATCAATGATTATACATACTGCTGTACGTATGTATTGTGAAAATCACTACGCCTCTCTATTTAAATACACATTTTCATCAGCTTACGATATAATTGACAAGATGTTGTCTCCTTATACTTTTAGGTTTAAGGTACATTCATGATGAGTTTATGAAGTCCTAACTTAGCCTTACTTAATACCCGGTTTACGTCAACGATTTCTTCACGAATTTATTCCGATGGATTTTTTATTTAAACATTTTGAGTTTTATGTCTATTGTGGTTTTCATTTTGAGGCAAATCTCATAAACAAAAACCATATTTTTGACCATTTTAGTTTAAGATTAACTGTAGGTGGCAGCGCACGTAGAATCGACAATTCAATACAATTGTGAATTGTCTGGACGAAAATAAAGGTTTCGAATTTGGATTTGTTGAATATTGTAGTTCTATACTTGAATTGACAGGTTATTCAATATAATGGAAAGGGAAACAACCATGGAATTGGCGTCCAATTTTTGCAAAAATTAAACTTAAAGTGAACCTTGGAAGTACAGTATTCGATGGGTATCCTGTTGAGCAGGGTGCTCCTCAGGGATCTGTACTAGGACCACCGCTATTCAACTTCTAGACACGTGAGCAGTATTCATTGCCAAAAACTTAAAGCGTAGTGAACTCTTTTGACGATAATGTCAAGCTTTCGACAAACTATGTTGTCATCTTCAGGAGCTAAAACACAATTATAGAAATAGCAACCAATTTAGAATAGAATCAAATTATTAAACTATATGGGACAATCTCAGTTACATTTTTGAAGGACTGGATACGGTGCAGACAACGGTTGGCACATGAGATAAACACCCCAATATGTAGAGCTATTTTTTAACAACTTGAGTATGTTTTCCACTTTTTTTTAAATTGTTCGGGTTTTTTGATAAAAGGTTATAACGCGTTGCTATGTGTTACGTCTTTAACAACAAACCCAAAGTATCCGGCCTTTTGCTTTTATAATTTTTACAAGTGTTCTCATTCACGCTTTCCTCCTAAAACACGATTTAGCTGCAACCTCATCGACGAGTAAATAGTTTAATAATTTGAATCTGTTCTGAATTGGTTGCTATTTACATGATTGTGTTTTAGCTCCTGAAGATGGCAACATAGTTTGTCGAAAGCTTGAGATTACCGTCAAAAGAGTTTACTACGCTTTGAGTTTTGCCATTTCCCAATAAGCAATTTGATTGTATTTTTTGCCTTATATATATATATATATATATATATATATATATATATATATATATATATATATATATATTTATATATATATAGATATATATATAGGTGAAAAATAAAGCTTCCGCCATTATTTGGGTACTTCGACAAAATTCAAGCAATAAGGACTCTTTATGCTTTATTAGTCTCTAGCTTTCAATGGACTATGCCATCATCATCAGGAGCTGCGATAACATTAAGAAGAAATAGCATCTATTGTACAAAATGATTTCAAATTACTTACATTTGATCCATTTTGATGTGTTCCTGACAGCTGTGTGTATTTTATATTAATTTTAACGAATGTATCATGGAATCATCTTTCACCAGGTTACTAAATGTTTCCCTCAACTTATCCTTTAATAACATTTAGCAACAATCTCACATACTATCGTAAGTAATTTAAAATCATTTTGCACAATAGCTGCTATTTCTTCTTAATGTTATTGCAGCTCCTGATGATGACGGTATAGTCCATTGAAAGCTAGAGACTGATAAAGTATTGCTTGAATTTTGTCGAAGTACCCAACTAAAGGCGGGAGCTTTATTTGTCACCTAACTGGTCTAGACGACAATGTCCACGTTTCAAGTTATATATATATATGTATATATGATATTGAATTTTCACTTTTGAAATTTCGCCATGAAGAAATCCGTGGAGTTATTGTCAATGTCAGACGGGCTATAAGAGAGCTAAATCCAACGCCATTAGAGGAAATCATCCTTAGGTTAAGTTAGATTTTATTTTAGACTTGATAAACTCGACAACAAAATACGACGATGTGGCTTAAATTCTATACAGTACGTATTCCTTAAATTACAAAAAAATAACCTAATTCGTTGTCCGACTGGATTTCCATTCCAAGTGCAGCAGGTAGGTAGCGAAACCGTAGACGCCTGCGTTGATCATCCCGAATACCTGCGAATAGAAAAGTGACGTCAGGATTATTCATTAACAGCCATCGTAAAATTGTAAAATGATTTATTCGTAAAAAGATCGAGAATTTATCTGACTGCTTGACTTAAATCTGTACGAGCGAGAAGTGTGACATGTGACACATCAGAGATGGAAAATATACAGGGTGTTCAATTTGAAATTTTTGAGAAAAGGTACATTTTGCTTTTGGACGTACCCCGTATAAATAGAAAGGAATTATAGCACTTTTTCTAGATCAGCTTAAAATCGATGATAATAAAATGTTCATGAAGTAAAATTTATCTAAATATACATATCAACACCCAGTTTAAATGGTTTTATTTTAATAAAAGTTGGTGAATGTATTTATCTTACTGTAAATAACAAGTGAAAAAATGTTCAGCCTTATCAGTTGGACATTCCGGTTTTTATACTGCTTTTTTTAATTCACTAACGCTCTAAAAATGAATATTTCAGCCGCAGTAAAGAATCAACGTTGGCGGATTTTGGTTCTTGACATCCTTTACGATCGGTTACGATGCCTAGAGTACGGAGACCTGTACGATTTCGTCAACTTAGTGAGTTTGATAGGGGCCGTATAGTGGGACTTCGGGAAGCTGGACTTTCTTTTCGGGCAATTGCAGTTAGAGTGCAAAGAAGTGTAGACACTGTGGTTAGGTGTTGTCAGGCATGGCTTCGAGAAGGCCGTACGCAAAGAGCAAGGGGCACTGGACGCCGCCGTAGAACAACAGACCGTGAAGATCGCCGCCTAAGATTATTGGCCTTAAGGGACCGTTTCTCCACTACCAGGTCCATTGCAAATGAATGGTTTGCAGAACACGGAAGACATATTGGCATGCGAAGTGTTTACCGACGAATGAGAAGTTTTGGCTTGTTTTCATACCGGCCACACTGGGTCCTCCCTTTAACTCGAGAACACCGACGTCATCGCCTTGAGTGGTGCAGACAACGGTCACTCTGGGATCAGGAATGGAACAGTATTGTCTTTAGTGACGATTTTGTTTAGGTATGCACGATGGTCGTGACAGGGTTAGAAGGCGACGTGGTGAAAGGAGGAATCCACAGTTTTTTGTTGAAAGACATGTTCATCACACTGTTGGAGTTATGGTTTGGGGTGCTATAGCTTATGGTTCCAGGTCACCTTTAATCTTCATCAGAGGTAACATGAACGCGCAGCGTTATATCCACGAAGTTCTAGAACCCCATCTTTTACCCTATCTTGACACCCTGGCAGATCCAACTTTCCAACAAGATAATGCCCGACCACATGTTGCAAGAGTCACAATAGACTTCTTTCAACATAATGATGGCACATTGTTACCATGGCCACCAAGATCTCCAGACTTATCCCCAATTGAGCACGTGTGGGATATGATGGGTGGGAGATTGCTCAATTTGCAACGTCCTCCTCAGACTCTAGAAGCAGTTCGAGAGGAGTTGGTGGTTGCCTGGAATGAGATACCACAGGAGGACATTGACCACCTGATCAGAAGCATGCCTAGGCGCGTTGGAGAATGCGTAGCACATCAGGCTGCATCCACATATTATTAAAGGTCAAAGGGCTTTAAAGCAGTGCAATCATTTTGAAATTTTTATCATTTACTTATTATGCTTCATTAAGTACTTATACAAAATTTTATTAAAATAAAACCACTTAAACTGGGTGTCCGGATTTATATGTCACTTAGTATATGTATATTTAAAATGGCGTAACTGCGGGCCATCAAAGCTGAGCTTTTTGACCAAATATCTTAACAATTGACAATGTTACATCATATCAAACTCCTTGTTTTTAGAAGCTCTATTTATAGATGCAATAAAATACAAGATCTTTATTAAAAAAACGTGTATTTGTTCGATATAGCACGAAGTTTTGAAATACCCTGTATGTATGAAAATAGTTTGAAAATATTCACTAGCAACACATCCAGGTTGTCCCGAAAACAGATTCTTGATATGTTTCCCAGTTTACTCATAAAGCTACTTCCCATTTTCGTTGGGACACTCTGTATAATTACAGGACCGTAACAAAAAAATTAAAAATCAAAAAGTTTTTCAAAAATTTTAGAATTTTTGTTACGTCAAACGTGTACATTTATTGGGCTAGTTACAAATTTTGCGCGTATAGTCAACAATTTTCTGAAGGAGAAAAAGTATTGAAAATTTTGATTATCATTTTTAATTCCTTTCCTCCTGTTTCTCGAACTGTCATTTTATTTACATACAATCTTGATGTAAATCTAATAAAAAATACTTTACCCCTGCTGCAATGTAAGCTCCTCGATGCGAGTACGCGTGATGTACTGTCGCACCAACGATCAGCTGAATGATGAAAGCTATGATGTAAAAGGCCGTGCAAATTCCTGTGTTCACCAACTCCTGTAAAAATAAGTCTCATTTTAGAAATTGTCTTAGGGCAGCCCAGTATGGGATCTTCTGACTCACTCTAGGGATGTTCCGATCCACGAAAAGTATCGATGCTATGTATCGATTCGTAACATTGTAGGAAGTATCGATACTCTAAAATATCGAAATAAAAGTATCGAAACCCGTCGATACGGAACATACACTGCCGAAAATCGATGTTGTTTCTTCTACAACACTCGAAATAATGTTTACTTTTTTCTGGATGACTAGATCGTCAAATACGTTCACTAATAAAAGTAGATAAAAACCTCAGAATTACATCTCCCAGCTGAACTCGAAATAGCTCCACAAATCATTTCTTACAGGAGCCACCACTATCACAAAAATATTTTGTTTTAACGTGTAATTCCCCGAAATCGAATCCAACAGGGTTGCCAAGTCGGTTAGCTCAGTTTCCCCACTCGTAATGTAAAAATCCCCTAAATTCAGGACTAAAAAAGAATACCCAAAAAATACCATTTATTTTTTGTTACCATAGGTTGACGATTTGTTAGATATTCTTTTACCTTAAAATATTTTTTTGAGCGACATATTTTTGGTATGTCCCAAAAGATACAAGTCTTTGTTTTGAATCGAAAGACAGATTCATACATAACAAGTACGTTATGTAATGTCATTAATAAAATTTCACATAATAGCTCCCCAGTAAAATATTTTTGACCAAAAGAAATCCCCAGAAAAAATATCCCAAAAATATTCCCCTTTAAAATAAAAATTCCCCGATTCTGATCAGAATTTAAAATTCTATTCGTCTGTGCAAAAATATAATATGGCGTCCATAATAAGAAATAAAGTGAATGCTGGAGGATAAGAGACGAAACATCATACTGAGATTCTAATTATGCCACCTCGTAGAGCAAAAAATGACAATGTTAATATGCAATTTAGTTTGAAAACCCACTACAAATGCAGCCAATAAAAAATTAAACATATAGTCAACGCCAAACAAAGTGGCGTGCACGTCATCACGATAAAAATTCCCCGACCTAATGCCTAGGTTTCTATCACAAACAATTGCTCTATTGCAGTTTCATATTAATGTGATATATAAATTGTAAAATGGTCATTACTCTCTTATTATGGTATCGACATGTAAACGCACTAAACCGATTTCGCAGCGTTGACACATTGTCACCTTGAAACTTATTTAAACTGGGAACTGACATTTGTATTAATTTTGACACTGAATCAATTTGTGGCATTTCAAATCTTTATAAATCCTTTGGCCCCGCATACTGTAAATCAACAACTGTTTGTTTCAAAACAAAATTATTCATTTTACGAGTAGATAAAGGCAATTTTGGTATATAAAGATGCCCAAACAGTTAAATAGTCGGTGTAAGGAACTCGTGGCCTCGTTAATGCACTACTTTGAGCAAGAAAGGGACAACAACGGGCCTTTGTTGCCTTTAAATGCTGTTCAAGAGGTAGGTTACTAATAATTATATGTAATGTATATTAATAATAGTGAAATTTTATTTCATTTTTTGTAGCGTGTTGCTGCTGCTTTAAAAATTAGTTTAAGGACAGTTAGTCGTATTTCCGAGGGTGTGAAAAGTGATGCAAATTTAGAATCGCCCAAGAAAAAGCGGAGTTATATTTAACGTGTAACCAACACAGCGACATTGGATACAAGTGCCATTCGAGAAGTGATCTATAATATGTATCACAAAAGTAAGATCTCATTATAATAACTTATCAGAAATTTGCATTAATTTGTGAACTAAATTATAATGTCATATTACACATGGTTTCAGAAGAACAAGTTACGATACAAACTTTATGGTCTCGATTAAGAGATAGGGCATTATTTGATGGTAGTGCCACGTCTTTAAGGCGGTTGCTTAGAGATCTTGGATTTAAGTGGCTTAAGGACAATCCGCGACGAGGGCTCATGGAACTACCAAGTATAGCTTTGAAAAGGGTGGAATTTCTAAGGCAATACAATCAAGCCAAGGTTGAGGCCTTATACCAGTTTGTCTTCCTCGATGAAACTTGGATATTTCAAAATGGGACCATAGGTCGCTCTTGGCAAAATGGAAACCAAAAAAGCGTGAAAGCTATTAAAACAGATGGTAAAAGGTATGTACTTTTACACAATTTGCACTATAAAATTTAAAACTAATATATTTTAGATACATTATATTACATGCTGGAAATGAAAATGGGTTTATTGAGGGTAGTGAAGCGATATTTTCTTCTAAAACAAAATTGAGCGATTACCATGGAGAGATGAACCAGGACAATTTTTTGAAATGGTTTCAACATCAGTTATTAGAAAAATTGGAGAGTCCATCTATGATTATACTGGATAACGCCCCTTATCACAGCATGATATTGAACAAAGTGCCCAACAATGCATGGACAAAAAAAAATATCCAAGACTGGTTGACAAATCAAAACATACCATTTTTAAACACAATGTTTAAAACAGAGCTATTGAGTATTGTTGCTCGGTACATAATGCTTCTTAATTATATATATTTTGGTCGACAGTTTATATTTCTTTTGTTTATTCCTATTCTTAAAATAACTGCTTTTTTAGAAACAAACCACCTAAAATATACGTGATTGATGAATTGGCGGAACAACATGGGCACAAAGTTCTTCGTCTGCCTCCTTACCATTGTATATTTAACCCTATTGAGTTAATTTGGGGCATAGCAAAAGGTTACTATAACAGACATATTGGTAGAGATGGTAACAGTGAAAAAGACTGTTTGGATATGTGGAACGAGGCTCTACAAACGGTTACCCCAGACATGTGGAAAAATAGTGTTCGACATACTGAGCAAGAAATTTTTAAATGGTATGAAAGAGAACGAATTTTTGATCGACCAGACATCGAACCTTTAATAATCAACTTTGAGAGTGATGAAGATTCAGATTCAGACAGCGCTGAAGAAAGAAACTCCGACTAACTTTATTGTACAGAAAAAGCTTACACCAGTAGCTTACCTAATTTTAGAATGCATTTTTCTGTATGAATTCTGTAAAATAAATACCATGCATAAAATTTGGAGGACCCCATTTGGATTTTTATTCAGTACCTTTAAGCTATCAATTAAATATGGTAGTTTCATAGTGTCATCTGATCAATAATTGTCATACTTAATGATTATGCAAGTACAGATCTATAATTTTATTATACTATTATTTTTGTTCTCATTTGAGGTTAATATTGCTTATAAACCTAGATATGTAAATAATAAATTTTATTATTTTACAAAAAGTTTGGCAACAATGTAAATTTTTCAACACACCCACCTTGATGACGTGCACGCCACTTTGTTTGGCGTTGACTATAAGTAAACTTGCTTGTTGAAAAATTTAAACAATTCACTGGGTACTTTTTTTATTTTAATGAAAATGACTGGGCCATATTTCGAAATAGAAAGCTAATAACCAACAATTTAAACGACGTCTATACCGGATTTACATATTTGAATAACAATAATGTTTGGGATTAGGACTTCACAATTCATCGATATTTATGTATAGAAAATTTGGAAAACGGGTTTTGCCTTTCACGTTATGTCAGCCGTTGTATTCATGAATACTTATTCCATCTCCAAAGAGTGTAACAAATATACCCAGTGGAATATTGAATATATTTTACAAGTCAAGGCAAAACTTGTTCCAAAATTAGTTTGTATAACGCAGTGATTGCAATATGATTTATCCTCAAGGTTAATGCTTTTAGCTCAAATGCTAAAAATTATCATATTATTATCATCACTTAACCAAATGCAACCTTTAAATATTTTACCAAGGAAAATATGCCAAAAATATGCATACAGTAATGGACAAAAGTATATAGACAAATATGAATATTTACCTAAATACCTTTAGAAAACGAATTCATGCTTCATTGCTTCATAAACAAATACGTTAATTCCTTGTTTTACATTGTCTGCAATGAACACAATACAAGTCTTCTGAATATAAGCGCTTTTTTATGAGCGACAAAAATATGTAGAAAAATTCTTTTCAACACTGGTTTAGTACAGTTTCGTGTCAGAAGAGGATTATTTTGTGTTCATCAAGTATTGTGTGATTTTAAGACCATGCTGCGTGGTCAAGAAATTTCTTTCGATGTGAATACTAAGATCATTGAGTTATGCTCAACGTCAAGTCGACATTGCCAAAAATTTGAAGCTGAAGCGTAAATCAGTTTGGGAAATATTGAACACATATAAACATAAAGGTATCTTAGAAGCCTCTAAGAGAAGTGGTCGGCCTAGAAAACTAAATGCTAGATCAGTTATATTAATAAAAGTAATTTCGTCCAATGATCTGTTTAAAACCCCAAGACAAATAAAAGCCGAAATCGAGACAAAAGGAATTGTCAGTGTTTCTACGAAAACTACAAGTAGACGATTAAATGATTTGAAGTTATTTGCACGTCGCCCGAGGAAGAAGCCGCTAATCTCGAGGAAAAACCGTAAGGACCGATTACAATTTGCACGGTTGCATCTCTGACTAGAAGAGGGTATGTTTCAGTGACGAATCCAAGTTCAATATGTTTGGATCAGATGGTGTTCATTACGTCAGACGTCCTAGTGGACAAAGATTGAACCCCAAGTACACTTTGCCCACTGTCAAACACGGAGGCGGGTCTGTTATGGTTCGGGGGTGCTTTTCGGGGTTTGGGATGGGACCTTTAAATAGAATAGATGGCATTATGGATAAGTTTGTATACACAGACATACTAAAGCATGTCATGTTACCCTTGAGATCAATCTTCCAGCAAGATAATGACCCGAAGCACACATCAAATCTCGCAATGAAATTCTTTCTGGATGAAAAAATACCAGTTCTCGAATGGCCTTCACAGTCTTCCGATATAAACCCCATTGAAAATATATGGGAACACTTAGATAAGCAAATACGAGATGAAAATTATTCAAACAATGATGAACTTTTTGCCGCTTTACAGCAAAAGTGGAGACAGATTTATGAATCTTATATGAAGAAACTTCTACAATCTATGCCGAGACGATGCCAGGCGGTGATTGATAATAATGGTTATGCTACAAAATATTAACACAAACACGGCTGGTTTTCTATAATTCAATGAACTTTGCTTCTTTTTTCTAAAATTGTTTTGCTTTGTCTATATAGTTGTCCTTCATAGTTCCAGTTTTTCTCAATTAATTTTTTATTGAAGGGAGTCTAATGAATTTATTTATGTATAAGTAAGTACTATGCTATAACGAATTATGTACATGTATACAGGTTGGTGTATTAATTAAACAAGTTAAAAAAGGAATACAGCACAATATTAATTTGTCTATATACTTTTGTCCATTACGTATATAATATTTTATATCCGCAAGATTGAGTTTTGTGATTTATGTTCCTTATTGTTTTCTGGCCAAGCATCAAATAGTTGAAGTACAAACACATAACTATTAAACGTATCCAAATTATTTGGAATCTTATATTGATAGTATAAATAACTTCTATGACCGTATTTAATATTGTTCACTTCGAACTAATTTTAATAAAAATAGTTCTCATGATTCTTTTCTGAAAGACGAATATTGAAAGAAGTTTAATACCCTACTATCTTCTGTTCCGATAATCATCATTTGAACTTTGAGTACACATCCTGTCAAACTGACCAGCCTTTTCCGTACCTCAACTATACTATAACTATCTAAAACTGTAATGACTCATCGATGTTCACGTGAACATCACTTAACTACCAGTAGTCGGCTGTTCATAGGCGGGGTATGAATGTTTAACATGGGTGAACTAGATTTGTCACATGCTTAATAAAGAGTGGTTTGAAACATATTGTAAGTCTAAAATTTGGGAATTACCTTTATTCATCGTCGCTTCCACTTACATCTGACAGTAATAAACTGTCGCTATCGCTTTCCTCGTTGAAATTGACTATAACTGGCTCTATGATGGTGTCGATGTGGTGGTCAAGCTGCCACATTTTTGTTTCTTCCTTCACAACATGACGGATAGCATTCTGCCAAGCTTCGGGCGTTACTAGCTGTATGGAAGTCTCAAGTAAAACCTTAACGTCTGGTAATTTGAAGGTTGTGTTATGGCGCGCAATATAACCCTTCACTTGAGCCCAGATGAGCTCTCTTGGGTTCAGTTCACAGTGGTAGGGCGGTAACCGCAGCACAGTGACACCACATTGACGGGCCATCTCATCAGTCACGTAACTAATGTTCGCAGGTTTGTGCTGTTCAATTTTTTCATACAATTCCGCTTTCACAATCGTCAAACGGGATTTCTTTTTCGCGCAACCATTGCTGCATGTCACTTTTTCGAGATCCCATAGTCGGTACACGTTCGGCTCGACGACTATAGTAGGAAGCATTATCCATGACGATCACAGAGTTGGGCTCAACTCGCAGAAGCACCCCTTGAAACCAGCTCTCGAAGCAGCTGGCATTCATTTCATCATGGTAATCACCTCCTTTCTTAGAGACGAAAATCAAGTCACACTCTTCTAAAAAGCCACTATCGCTACCAATATGAGTTACGATCAATCTTTGACCTTTCCCTGACGGTCCACGAAGACCTGTTGACAAACCTTCAATGCTTGCTTGTCGGTTACTCACTACGTTTTTGTCTATCCAGGTTTTTTTAACTGTGTGACCTGCATTTACCCATGTCTCGTCCAAATAATAGATTTTTCTACTTTGTCGCCTATATTCAATCATTTCGCGTAGGTATTTTCGACGCCAGGCGACTATTTCAGGTCTCTCTATCAATACTGACTTCCGATTACGCGTTTCGTAACGAAAATTAATTTCGTGCAGGGATTTCCTCATTACCTCGACGCTCATTCGGGGTATAATTTCATTTTCCTTGGTCGCTGCATGTACAGCCTTGAGGGTTGGTATCTCATTCCTAAAGAAGAATGAATGTACGGTTCGTCTTAACGCCATTTTGCTATCGTCATCCAATTTAACGACCTTTCGTCCCTTCAAATTAAACTTTGGATCAGTAGTAGCTCCAGTTTTCTTCTTTTCATGCACCACCCTGCGAATGGTCCACTCTGGAACGCCTGTCATACTTTCACAATGCGCGAGTGCATCTCCCTGCGACATAGTTCTGTTCAGATAGTTGAACACGTTGAGCACGATTTCTTTCGCGTCCCTCTTCAGTGCTTTACGAAGCCGTCTACTTGTTCCCTGGCTTTCAGTACTTCCACTCGTGCCATTTGTACTCTCCATGGTTGAGTATAACCAAAACAGTAACCACAGAAATCACAACAATAACAATCACACAACAATTCTTATAAATACACACAATATGCGATCGCTCAACGAAACACGTTCCAATGCGTTGCCGACGCCTATGAGTCTGCCGGTCGAGGCGCGTCTTTGATTTCATTGGTTCTACCGGCGGAGAACAATCAGCCATTATTTCCATCTCTCTCTGTGCTGTTGACCACCGCAAAGCCACAGAAACGACATATATGTCGTACGCTATACGGCTGTACTGGAACGAAGCCGGGATCGAGCTCTGATCACGTGTTGATCACGCGTATGAGTCATTACAGTTTTAAATAGTTGTAGTATAAAAATGTACAATCATGACAGTTCAAATGGATTTAGTTTCCGTTATTTTGTCGAATATGATATTTTAACGATATTAAAGATACTCACCGTTAAAATCCAGTTAATCGGCACTGCATGCAAGGCCTCCCTGATTCCTAAAAGGTAAATGAAGATCCAAATCATGGTGCCGATGAAACTGGTCGTAGCTACGAACAGGAAGAAATGTGTGCCGCCATAATATGCGGGGGAGGCTAGGGACATGCACAGGATACCCAGGATCTGAAATTGAAACGAAAAATTTTACATTTAATTTGAATTCGTCGATTGAGCCAAGTGATAGATTTTAGTTTAGTTAGGTAGGTAGATGTATACTAAGTGACATATAAATCCGAACACCCAGTTTGAATGGTTTTATTTTAATAAAATTTTGTATAAGTACTTAATGAAGCATAATAAGTAAATGATAAAAATTTCAAAATGATTGCACTGCTTTAAAGCCCTTTGACCTTTAATAATGTGTGGATGCACCCTGATGTGCTACGCATTCTCCAACGCGCCTAAGCATGCTTCTGATCAGGTGGTCAATGTCCTCCTGTGGTATCTCATTCCAGGCAACCACCAACTCCTCTCGAAGTGCTTCTAGAGCCTGGGGAGGACGTTGCAAATTGAGCAATCTCCTACCCATCATATCCCACACGTGCTTAATTGGGGATAAGTCGGGAGATCTTGGTGGCCATGGTAACAATGTGACATCATTATGTTGAAAGAAGTCTATTGTGACTCTTGCAACATGTGGTCGGGCATTATCTTGTTGGAATGTTGGATCTACCAGGGTGTCAAGATAGGGTAAAAGATGGGGTTCTAGAACTTCGTGGATACAACGCTGCGCGTTCATGTTACCTCTGATGAAGATTAAAGGTGACCTGGAACCATAAGCTATAGCACCCCAAACCATAACTCCAACAGTGTGATGAACATGTCTTTCAAAAAAAAACTGTAGATTCTTCCTTTCACCACGTCGCCTTCTAACCCTGGCACGACCATCGTACATGCCTAAACAAAATCGAGACTCGTCACTAAAGACAATACTGTTCCATTCCTGATCCCAGAGTGACCGTTGTCTGCACCACTCAAGGCGATTACGTCGGTGTTCTCGAGTTAAAGGGAGGACCCAGTGTGGCCGGTATGAAAACAAGCCAAAACGTCTCATTCGTCGGTAAACACTTGCACATGCCAATAGGTCTTCCGTGTTCTGCAAACCATTCATTTGCAATGGACCTGGTAGTGGAGAAACGGTCCCTTAAGGCCAATAATCTTAGGCGGCGATCTTCACGGTCTGTTGTTCTACGGCGGCGTCCAGTGCCCCTTGCTCTTTGCGTACGGCCTTCTCGAAGCCATGCCTGACAACACCTACACTTCTTTGCACTCTAACTGCAATTGCCCGAAAAGAAAGTCCAGCTTCCCGAAGTCCCACTATACAAACTCACTAAGTTGACGAAATCGTACAGGTCTCCGTACTCTAGGCATCGTAACCGATCGTAAAGGATGTCAAGAACCAAAATCCGCCAACGTTGATTCTTTACGGCGGCTGAAATATTCATTTTTAGAGCGTTAGTGAATTAAAAAAAAGCAGTATAAAAACCGGAATGTCCAACTGATAAGGCTGAAAATTTTTTCACTTGTTATTTACAGTAAGACAAATACATTCACCAACTTGTATTAAAATAAAACCATTTAAACTGGGTGTTCGGCAACATTAAGCCCCTTTTACCCTTTACACTTTTATGATGATTGATTTGTATAATGTTCGTGGCAATATCCTGTATACTAGAAACCAAGAAAGATTGTAATATAAAATTGCTCATTTGTTATTCTTATGCAAGTAGAGGTAACACGCTTAATGAGTGGCTGTTAGGCACTTTTATAACATATTTTTACATACGCATGGTGTGCACGGGTGTTTATAAAGTAATAATCGACGTTTTCTTTGCACTTTACATACAATATAAATCAATTCTTCTATCAATATTATTATCCAAGATACCTGCACGCAATGTCTTGTTGTATGAGCTGAGTAAATAACTTATAGTATTAAGAAACTATGTAACAACAACAAGCACTCGCTTTGATAGCAAACTAAAGAGTACAATAATTTTCAAATGAGGAGTGTTGGTGTTGTTGCAATAGAAAGTCCAACAATAGAGTATGACCAATTAATTTGGAATCAGATTAATATAAAAATTGATATAAAAAATTCAATTAATAGTAAATAAGTATTGTTTGATATGAGATGTTAGAACTATTGTTTTAGTTGCTATTTACAGAACTGGAGTAGTTATGAAAATATAGATAAATACACCCCATGCTTTTTTCTATAATTGCATTTTTTGTTAATATCCTAATTTTTATATTGAAATGAATTAATCATACTCGATTGACGGGCTTCCTATTGCAATATCACAAACTCTCATATACTTAAAATTATTTTCTACTTTTCAGTTCGATTTGCTATTAAAGCGTGTTTTTAGTTTTTTAAACTGTAACTCATTTTCTCAAAATGACAAAAAAAGTACTTATACAATTTCAAATTTTCTACAAATTTAATATTTAATTTTTTTTCAATTTTTAAATTGCATACAACATTTTTCGAAATATCCAAAAAAATTTCAGTTTCCAAGCTTTTTTAGAATTTTCCAAATGTTCAAATTATTTTGTAAATCTCCGATTTTTCCAATTATTTTCCAAATTTGCAAATCCGATTTTATCCAAATCCAAATTTACCTTGAAGATTTTCAATTCCAACGTTTTTCCAGATTTCTAAATCCAAATTATTTTCCAAATTTCCGGTATTTAAAATTATTTTCCAAATTTACAAATACAATTTATTCCAAATTTCAAATTTAATTTTTTTTATGTTTCAATCCCACCATTTTTCAAAATTTCATGAACCATTTTTTTTTAGATTTTAAAAATTATTTTTGCTTGGTATTGTCATTGGCGCCTAAGCCCCATGCAAATTTTCTAGTTAACTTCCTTAAATTAATAGACATAGTTCGATTTGCGATTAAAGCATTTTCTGTTTTTTTTAACTATTATTTATTTTTTAAATTTATAGTATCAAAACGACAAGAAGAGGAATTATGAAACAACCATTTTTCCGAACTTAAAATACAATGTTTTCAACTTCCAAATTTCCTTCAAAATTTAAAAATTTCCGGTTTTTTCAAATTTCGAAATTTCCAAATTTTTTTTAAAATCTCCAAATTGTCCATTTTTTCAAGATTATTGATTGCCATCGGCGCTTAACCACTGTGAAAAATTTTCAAGCTCATCAGACTTCTTTAAAATGGTAGAAATAGTTCGATTTGCTATTAAAGCGAGTTTGTTTAGTTTTTTAACTGTAATTTATTTTCAATTTGTTCCAAAATGACAAGAAAATTTCTTATAATATTTTCTCCAAATTTTAAATTCAATTTTCCAAGCTTTTTCAAAAGTTCCAAATCTCAAAATTATTTTGCAAATTTACGATTTTTACAAAAACATATACCAAGTGACATATAAATCCGAACACCCAGTTTAAATGCTTTTATTTTAATAAAATTTTGTATAAGTACGAGTACTTAATGAAGAATAATAAGTAAATGATAAAAATTTCAAAATGATTGCACTGCTTTAAAGCCCTTTGACCTTTAATAATGTGTGGATGCACCCTGATGTGCTACGCATTCTCCAACGCGCCTAGGCATGCTTCTGATCAGGTGGTCAATGTCCTCCTGTGGTATTTCATTCCAGGCAACCACCAACTCCTCTCGAAGTGCTTCTAGAGTCTGAGGAGGACGTTGCAAATTGAGCAATCTCCTACCCATCATATCCCACACGTGCTCAATTGGGGATAAGTCGGGAGATCTTGGTGGCCATGGTAACAATGTGACATCATTATGTTGAAAGAGGTCTATTGTGACTCTTGCAACATGTGGTCGGGCATTATCTTGTTGGAAAGTTGGATCTGCCACGGTGTAAAGATAGGGTAAAAGATGGGGTTCTAGAACTTCGTGGATATAACGCTGCGCGTTCATGTTACCTCTGATGAAGATTAAAGGTGACCTGGAACCATAAGCTATAGCACCCCAAACCATAACTCCAACAGTGTGATGAACATGTCTTTCAACAAAAAACTGTGGATTCCTCCTTTCACCACGTCGCCTTCCAACCCTGGCACGACCATCGTGCATGCCTAAACAAAATCGAGACTCGTCACTAAAGACAATACTGTTCCATTCCTGATCCCAGAGTGACCGTTGTCTGCACCACTCAAGGCGATTACGTCGGTGTTCTCGAGTTAAAGGGAGGACCCAGTGTGGCCGGTATGAAAACAAGCCAAAACTTCTCATTCATCGGTAAACACTTCGCATGTCAATAGGTCTTCCGAGTTCTGCAAACCATTCATTTGCAATGGACCTGGTAGTGGAGAAACGATCCCTTAAGGCCAATAATCTTAGGCGGCGATCTTCACGGTCTGTTGTTCTACGGCGGCGTCCAGTGCCCCTTGCTCTTTGCGTACGGCCTTCTCGAAGCCATGCCTGACAACACCTAACCACAATGTCTACACTTCTTTGCACTCTAACTGTAATTGCCCGAAAAGAAAGTCCAGCTTCCCGAAGTCTCCGTACTCTAGGCATCGTAACCTATCGTAAAGGATGTCAAGAACCAAAATCCGCCAACGTTGATTCTTTACTGCGGCTGAAATATTCATTTTTAGAGCGTTAGTGAATTAAAAAAAAGCAGTACAAAAACCGGAATGTCCAACTGATAAGGCTGAAAATCTTTTCACTTGTTATTTACAGTAAGATAAATACATTCACCAACTTTTATTAAAATAAAACCATTTAAACTGGGTGTTCGGATTTATATGTCACTTAGTATATTTTCCAAATTTACAAATACGATTTACTCCAAATTTAAAAATTCTAATTTTTTAAGGATTTTGTTTCCAAAGTTCATAATTCCTTTTTTTATTTGATTACTATATTGTCATCGGCGCCTAAGCCCTGTGCAAATTTTCAAGATAATCAAACTTCTTTAAATTGGTAGAAATAGTTTAATTTGTTATTGAAGCGTGCTTTTCATTTTTTTAAACTATAATTTATTTTCTAAATTCTTAGTCTAAAACGACAAGAAGAGTAATTATAGAATGTCATTTTTTTCAAATTCAAAACTCAATGTTTTCAATTTCAAAATTTCATTCAAAATTTCCTATTTCTTCAAATTTCGAAATTTCCAAAATGTATTAAAAATCTCAAAATTTTCCACTTTTTTCAAGTTAATCAGACTCTGGTATAAATAGTTTGATTTGCTATTGAAGCGTTTCTTTTGTTTTTTAAACTATAATTTATTTTCAGTATTTTTAGTCTCAGAAAAAGACTATAAATTTAAAGATTCTATTTTTTTATTCCCAAATTTCCTTCAAAATTTAAAAATATTTTCAAATTTCCGAATTTTTTAATAATTTCCATTCCGCAAATTTTCAAATTATTGAAATTTCCGAATTTTCCAACAATTTTTCATATTCCAAGTCCAATGTTTTCCAATTTATAAAATTCAAATTTCTTAAAAATTATCAATTTCGATTTTTTCTCAAAATTGTTGTATTGTGGAGGCACAAATTTCTCTGGGATTTTGATAGAAAAGTATCAGATTTTAACTGGAATTTGTTTTAATTCTAAGGAAACTACGGCGATACTGCATGGATGCGATGATAGTAATTGTATGTGAACTTTTAACGGTTTGGCATCTTCTTGGAGAACTCTTTAATCATAGACGCTTTCATATATTGCCTTATTTTTGCCTATAATTCCAAGTAAGTTTTCAGCGAGTTATTTTTTCCAGAACTCTGATGTCTGAACTATATCAACTATCATAAATATATATATAACAAGCAACGATAATAATTATATTCACAAGCAATCTACTGGACTTGAGAAGGTCACTGTTGACAACTCAGAAACCGTACATCTGTTAGTGCAGATCACTTGTTTACGCGTTCCTAGTTCTAGCTTCAATTAGCGATGGCGACGTCAATATATTATTTTCCACCTTCCACGTTCATTTTCACCTATAAACTTATGCATTCCGCCGGTTCCAAGGCTAGCAGTGTTGCCAAGACATGCATTTTTCACCAAACCTGTACAGAAGTCAAGCCGGCAACGGGGGATAAACCGAAATTAACCGGACAAACAATTAAATTAAATTTGAAATACCGTTTTAACCTTTGTATCAATTTGGTTACTTTTCTCGTCAAGTTGTAGGTAATTTCAGTGTCATTATTATCGACCGGCGTTATTCCAAAACAAATTGAAGATGTTTCTTGTTATACAGGGTGTAACTAAAAGGTGTATTTTGCCCTAAATTTTGAACCCCAACTTTTCCCAACTTTTTTTGATTCATGTCAATATCTCAATTATTGAAGAATATATGCTGTTGTGAATAAAATGTTATTTCAAATTCAATTCGAACAAAATTTAGTTTTCCCGGTTAATTTTGCGTGGCAGTGTAGTTGTTGGAAAATTACAAAAAGAATCTAAGTCGTAAGCATAATAATAATAATAATAAACGTATCTTCATTAAAGGGCGAAGTTTAGCTTGAAGCTATTTAATTCATAAGTATTGATAATTCTCTTATCCAATCTTTTGCAAATGATACGCAGCTTCCAATGGCGTTTCTTGTTGGGATCGTTGGTGGGCGAGCCGACAAACACTACAGTGTTGCCAGATTTCGCCCAGCATCATGCACGGCAAAGTTACAACGTCGGGAACCCTATTTTTTTAACAGCCCTCGTAAAACCACATAAATTACAGGATAATAGTACTGAAAGTACGACCGCAATTCTCCTCTTAGTAGATGTCATAGTTATGTTTTTAAATGTTGGTGTACAAACTTCCAATAAAAATGACCCTATGAACAAGTGAATTCTTCTTGATATTCTAACAAGAATAAATAGTACCGCTGGCGCCATCTGTGGATGCGACCGCGCCAGACTCTCCTACTCGCCAGCTGCTCCATGGCCGATCTCTGTTGGGGACCGCGCCAGTCTCCTTCGGTGGCGACATCTGTCGAGG